GAAACTGGCTCTTGGTTCCTAATCCCGAACGGTGGCTTTGACACGTTGCGTGACGCGGTAACGCGTCCCACTTTGCGCACCTCGTGGGACATTGTGACGCGGTAACGCGTCCCACCCAAGTCATCCCTTTTTCTTGCGCTTGCGCGACTTATTCCTAAGGTCTTTGTACTCATTCTATAGATCATACATTAGCATAACTATAAATACAGTGGTCCTTGAAATGGTTGGATATGCTTAACTAACTTGCCATAGCTTGATCATCGAAATTTCACAACTTCAAAGTTCCCTCGATTTTACACAGAACAGCTAGAAATTACACATTGCAGATGCGTTTCGATGTTGTATCTCTGTGACGGCATCTCCCACTGTCAAAGCCATGCGGACGAGACTAACTGCCGTGAGTTTCCCACGCATAGCAACGGCTCTACTCCTGGTGCATCCGATAACGTCTCCAAGGAGGTTCCTTTTGGGACTCTTCCCCACTACCACATCTCAACTCGAATTGTCCAGCATGTCATTGATCTTATTTGTTTTTCAACTAACATTTCCCTCATTAACATGTGTTGCATCAGAATTCGTATATTATGTTCTTGCTAATCTCTCGTTTCGCTGACAGCATGGCTTATTCCCGTTCCACCATGGAACTCCCTTGACCGTGAGAGTGATCGGTACAAACCCAACCCATGGCTAACCCAAGGAACCAGAAGGCTCAGGCCTGAACTCCAGCAGACCACAAAAAAGCCCAATGTCCTTTCAGCGCCTCGCATCTGCCTCCCAGGACAATTCCAGTGTCATGACAATAAGAAATGTGTGGCTCCTGGAGGTTTGTGCGATGGTGTCGAGGACTGCTGGGATGCGTCCGACGAGAAGTACTGCACCGGCTCATTCCGAGCCAACAGCCCCAACACCAAAGTGAATGAGATGGCTGCCTAAAGAAGCCTATACTCAAATGTATTTCGATGCCATTAGCGACTATGCTATTTATTTATATAAGTCTATACAATATTGTCTACCATTCAAGTTATGTAACGGTTTTGATCTCATTATTGTGTCGTTGTTAGAATTAATAAAAAGCTTCGGAATCACAGAACTACGTTAACCTTTTCTAAACGTCCCTCTGAATACGCAAAAGGGTGAGAAGTGGTTCGATTCTCTCGGTATGACAGCAGTTTTGCTTTTCGCGATTGAGTTTCAAAATTCGCGCAAAATGGAGTCAGCTTGAGAATGAATGCCATATTCATAATTAAGACAGTCAGTGACCCTTAAAATAGACGTTGTTTAAAAAAAACTGATGGAAAAGTTGTGACATCACAGTGGGGCCGTTTTGGTGTCACAATTTTCACCAGTTTTTCAATCAAGTCTTTTTGTAAGGGTTACTGACGGTCCTAATCATGAATATGGTACTAATTATTCATGCTAACTCCATTTTGCGCGAATTTGGAAACGTCAACTCGAAATGCAAAAATTTGTCACCACGAGGAATCGAACTAGGGACCCCCTTTTCTGGTATTCAGAGGGCCGTTCAGGAAAAATTGAACATGGTTCTGTGGTTCCCGCATCTGCCCCTATATCATGCAAAAGACCGTTTTCAAAAAGCTTGTCACGCCCTGAAAGACCTTCCTGGTGAGATCGGCAAGGCCGGGCCATGCTCGACCAGGATTTGCAACGGCAGTTGAATATATTTACTTTCCTTACTCTACTAATCGCTTCCATAGAACGACCAAGACTGTTAAATCCCTCTCCACAACGGCTGCACACAACTTGAGTACTATAAAATCAGAGAATCTGTAGAATCATTTGTGAATGGCTTGATTTTCACTTGTTTGCTGACGCTATTTGTTGGCATTTATTCTACATGTGGCTAACCCGTACACTGCGTGAATAAATGGTCCGCTTTATTTTACAGATGCGAAAAAGAAATGTTAATGTATAAAGTAGATCTAATTTGACATAGATATAATTTGACAAACTCATATACAATACTCATATACAATTCGCTATTTAGCTTTCTATTCTGAGATATAGGGATCACTGTAGGCTGTTCGTTCTATGCATGTGTGCTAGCTGAACAAGCAGAGCACCAATGCTGAAAAAAAAAGATTTGCCGTCATCTTGAGCACTATAATCGACACCCATTGAGGTTTACCATTGGCTGCTGCAATTATAACCCGGTCAGGCAATTTTGTGCGAGTTTGCGAATCGCATGCCCATAACGTAAGCTTAGGACGCCGGAAACACCTAAAGATTTTCAAATAGGTAGAGTAACCTGGATATTAAATATACCTTCTAGCAGTCGTGGTGACCATTATTATAGGAACAAGCAATGAAAGGAAATCGAGTTGATTGCCAGGATTCCACTAATGCGTCAGCAGCAAAGGACCATTCCCGTCAACAAGCCGCTAACAAGCCTAAGAGTGGAGTGGAAGACGTCACACTAAATTTCCCTTTCCCGCTAAGGACTCGTCCTCCGTACTGCGGAGTTACTCGGCCTTGTTGTCCTAGTTGTAGGTAGCCAAACAGTCCAGTGACCGCGGCTCGTTAGGGACGACCGAAAGGAATCTTAAAATCTCACTGGCATGGAGCTATGCGGGCAATCAACCTAGGAGAGTTTACCCCAACTATTCCATGGTTCGCAAGATCACTGAGAAACTACAGAAATATCTTATAGCTTGCTGTAAGAGAAGGTACATCTAAAATTATGAAATTCTTGCTGCCCACACAATTCTTCAATTGATGTGCTGATATTTAGCACTTACCCTATACTAATGGTCAGCTTACACTTATGATCGACCAGTTTAAAAGCGATGGAAAAAAAGTCAAGCTTACCTGCCACAGCAAGGGTTTTGTAAGGCAGATCATAGAAAGTGAAGGCGGCCACAATTGCGCCACTGCCTACACCAGCAACCAACGAGGGAACGGAACCTGTAGAGTATCAGATTTTGTTCACCACTATTTTTAGCAGTTTTCCAAATGAAAGAAATTAATAACGACGGTAAAAATAATATTGGAAATACAGGTTCGACCATAATTCGCGAAAGGTGCTTCAACATTTAATTTGCTTTTTCTTTGTATTGTGCTGTCCCGGAGCCTCATCAGGACCTAAATTTGTTTAACAAAGAGAAGCTCCAAAAGTTTTATTCCAAAAGAATTCCAAAAGTTCACAAAAGTCCAAATACTCCAAAAAACGAGCCAAAAAAATTTAAAAGAATCTTTGTTTCCAAAGGAATTCTTTTGGATTTTTGGCTCGTTTTTTGGAGTATTTGGACTCTTGTGAACTTTTGGAATTCTTTTGGAGCTTCTCTGTGTTAAACAAATTTGAGTGCTTGAAAAAGAAAAAAGGGAAGGCGCTCATGCCTCGGGGGGATGAGCGCCAAATGAAGCAGTGATGTATAAACATAATTGCTTACCGGCTTTCAGATAACCGATTGCTCCACCAGCAGCTAGAAGAGCAGCATACCACGGGTTCACTTGGTCAGGAACAAGCATTTTCACTTTTTGTAACAAACTGAATAATAGAAAAATAATAAACGACATAGAATAGACGATTGAAAGATATGATCCACGAAGAAGAAAAAACACAGCATAACCCAATGAAACGGTAAGCACAGAGCGTAGTTCGATACTGATTAGCGACAAGTACGGCGAGGAAGCGCACTGCTGATGGCGCAGTTCGATCTTCGACTCAAGCTGGCTTCAGACAAACATTTTTTCCTTTGCATTTCGAATCTCCAATGCAGGCGTACATAACTCATGCAAAAAAATTGATTAGGCAAGTTTTTAGTTGACCACACCCATCAACGAAGACGAAATCTAGTGTAATACGTCTAAGCCCCAAATTTGAAATTTAGCCTGATCACAAACTGTTCTTCAAGAAAAGTCCTAGCATTAAGGCACAGAAAAGCTCAAAGTGGAACTGGTCCATGACGACAAGGTAAATAGCAAACAAGACAAAGAACAAGTTTTGGCAAATTTTCCAATTGATGTATGTTAAACAATTGCTTTCAAAGTGCCAAGTTAAACGCATCTCGAGAGTTTCTTTCTTCCTATCTTCTGCTTAGCAAAGCTTTAGCAAACAAATACTAAGAGTAAACAACTCAAAAGTCAACCTGTTTACTGCAAAGTATGACGAGAATTACGTGCGGTTGCGTCGCGTGCATTCATATCAGAGCACGCAAACTGTCGTAGCAATGCCAATATCCTTGTGTTCCTATCAATCCGTTGATGGATCCGTTATGACTGCTTAAGGACATGCTAGGATTTTGAGACAACCCATGTCTTGTACAAATAGTAATGGCATACTAAATACGAATGGCGTTGCCACTTGACCTGGTGGCCGACGCACTTTACTTTCGTTCAAAAATGTACGGCCATTCGAAAGTTCATCAACATGTATGTGATTTTGTATGGGCGATGTCCATGTTAGCGGCTGGAACTTCTCATACAATTTTCGGCACTATGTTCCGTCTAAGCGGAAGCTTCAATCATTCAGGTCACGTTCCGAATCTCGATCTATGGCGCGGCTTTTACCAGAAAGGTTCTTTCAGAGAACAAGCCCCGCTTTTCAAAAGGTTTTCTTCTTGATGTAGGAACACGTGCATCGAACACGGAACTATGGCCCAGTTTTCCTGAGCAGCTCTCCGATGCCGGAAACGCGGTAGACTCACGTACCACACCTTTTTGACACCATTTTTTGGCAAAAATCCCCTTATAGGGGGGGCCAAAAAAGACGTTTACCCAGGTTCTTCGCAGAGATTGCCGTCGTTGACGGAAGTTCCTCAGCAAAATATTCCCTAAATGTCCCTCTATACACGCAGGCCCTCCTTCACTACCCTCACCGTCTTCAGAATATGACGTCATCTGTCACCGTCGTCGAGCTCAGGGAGGCCTACAGTAACTGCTTCAGCCTGAAGCTCTTACATAATTTCTTGGATCGATTCAACGTGGGATAGTTTCCTAGGGACATTAGCTCTAACTATGCAAACCCCCTCGGAACCCGCCCTTCGGAACCCGTCGTAACGGTACACGATCAGTCGAGAACCCCATTGAGCTCGACCAGAGCACCATGTTTCCGGGGCAAACTTTTCTGATGCCGTCCACGTAGATGGCCACTATGAAGATTTTCTATGAAATGAAATGCGCTCTTCAATTCTAAGTTGGGAGCACACGCTTTGAGCTGAGCAAAGTGTGATTAAATCCATTTGAGTCTGGAGACAAATGTCTTTTTTTTTATTGCCCCCCCCCCTCTGTATATGGGTGGCTCAATGGTTCCTGATGGTGAAGCTCGTCCTTCATAAGCCGCAGATACCTTTACGACATCGTGCCAGGCTTCTGGTCCAAGATACATTGTCGACACTTTATCATCAAACGAGGATTCCGACCCACCATGGAACGAAAACTTTCATCCTTTTTTGCCGTTAAGAGGGACACTCAGGAAAACTGAAGCATGGTTCCATGTCTCAGCATTTTGAAGAAGCAGAGCAGGATCTGAAAGACCTTCCTGGTTAGGCGAGTGTAACCTCCCTTCAAAAAGCGAGAAAGTGTCGGGTGCAGACCAAACACCACAACTGACGACGGCCTCCAAGTAAATCTGGTTAGAAGTTGTTCATAGTGATAGCTGATTTCTGGTAAATGATAGTTGTAATTAGTGACAATCGATAGAATACAACTGCAACAGGCTAATCATTTCATTGGCAGAAAACATTAACATTTTGTGAAGGCCGTCGTCACTTGTGGTGCATGGTCTGCACCCGACACTTTCTCGCATTTTGAAGGGGAGGTAAAACGGACGCCCGAAAATCCCCAACATTGCAGAGTGTTCTGAGAAATTATGTTTCAGTGATCGCAGAAAACATCGTCACCAGGGGCAACGACACTTTGAATGGTGCGGAAATGATTAGAAATTAAAATTATAAATCAAAAAATTATCAGTATTAATTACAGAATTGCATCCCATTAACATTCGTTTTCGCTTTTGGTCGAAGGAAACGAAAGAATGGTGATCAGCATGGAAATCAAAATAACTGATAAGAGCGGCGCGCCCGCATCAATACGCACGTCACTTGCAACCAGTTGGCGATAAAACACGGTGTTTAACAACTTGTTTAAAACTGTCATTCATGGGCGAACCTAAGCAATAAGCCTTATTTCTGGTAAAAAAGCGCTCGAGATTTTCAGGCCCTACTCTTCATCCACAAAGTCTAGTTCGTTGAACAACGCACTTCTTCACCATTTCCATTCCTCCACATTTTCCTGCTAACGCAGAACGTAGTAGACGTCTGGTCCCGCCCACAATTGCTTAAAGCAACAGTTCAGGAACGGTTTCGCGGGAAAAAACCACCAATAATGAAGTTGTAGATGAAAACCAGACGATTAATGTATGAAAAACTGGAAAAAAACGTCGGGGAGGGTCTTAGACAGGTACTCTCCCTCTGCCGCTCAGCAATGGATAAAGACGCACGTTGGACGAGTTGTCTGAACGTGCCCGCTGTAAACGCGCTCCATTTTTCAATCAATTTTCCCTGTGGTCCCAAAACGAGCACGATTGCCGACGCGTCCAATGACGGCCGGCAAGGGGGCGGGATTGGGGAAATCCCCAAGAACACCCATGTTTGAGGGACTTTCCACCCTGTTTTTGAGTTTCTGAGGTAAGTTCGTTTATTATTTCCACTGCATATGTTCTTCACTAGGGCTCGTGTATCCCTCAGTAGTAGTGGCATTGAAATTTTCGGACCCTCCCTGAACTGTTGCTTTAAGCCAGGGCCACCGCCGCGTTTTAAAGCTAATCCGAATGCAGTGAGCCATTACCCGTTTCAAAAGGGGGGGGAATGCATTCGGGGCTTAGCAAGCCCAACCAGTCGATGAGGTTTTGAGGATATTGCGGGAAGGTTCACGAAGCGAAAGTGGCGTGAAGTAGGATAATTTGAGAATTTTTTGTTCCTCAGACCAATTTACGGCCCTCCGGCCATTTTAGAGGAAAAAAGTGGGCGGAGTTGGGCTG